TTGATAGGAAAGTAGGAGGAGAGGTAAGGACGATAGATGTTTGATAGCAAAGTAGGAGGAGAGAAGGACGATAGATGTTTGATAGGAAAGTAGGAGGAGAGGTAAGGACGATAGATGTTTGATAGCAAAGTAGGAGGAGAGAAGGACGATAGATGTTTGATAGGAAAGTAGGAGGAGAGGTAAGGACGATAGATGTTTGATAGGAAAGTAGGAGGGGAGATAAGGACGATAGATGTTTGATAGGAAAGTAGGAGGACAGATAAGGACGATAGATGTTTGATAAGATTAAAGAAGGAGGACAGATAAGGACGATAGATGTTTGATAGGAAAGAAGGAGAAGAGATCAGGACGATAGATATTTGATAGGAAATAAGGAGAAGAGATCAGGTCGATAGATATTTGATAGGAAAGAAGAAGAGATCAGGACGATAGATGTTTGACAGGAAAGAAGGAGGAGAGATAAGGACGATAGATGTTTGACAGGAAAGAAGGAGGAAAGATCAGGACGATAGATGTTTGATAGGAAAGTAGGAGGACAGATAAGGACGATAGATGTTTGATAAGATTAAAGAAGGAGGACAGATAAGGACGATAGATGTTTGATAGGAAAGAAGGAGAAGAGATCAGGACGATAGATATTTGATAGGAAATAAGGAGAAGAGATCAGGTCGATAGATATTTGATAGGAAAGAAGAAGAGATCAGGACGATAGATGTTTGACAGGAAAGAAGGAGGAGAGATAAGGACGATAGATGTTTGACAGGAAAGAAGGAGGAGAGATCAGGACGATAGATGTTTGATAGGAAAGTAGGAGGACAGATAAGGACGATAGATGTTTGATAGGAAAGAAGGAGCAAACCACACCAGAGCACCTGCCAACCACCCACAGGCCATTTATGCTGACAGATCTCTGTAGTCAAGTTTACATGGGAAAGTTGTTGCTTTTGTTGTTGTTTGTTGTTGTTGGTTTCGTTTTGTCTTGTTTTGCTTTACAATGACTCCCCAACATGACATTCAATGAAACAATTTGGCACCAGTTTGTTTAGATATAGTTTCAGTGAGAGTTTTACGGCACTTGCAGCACACATTATAATTATAGGCCATTAATTGACAAAGATTAGGAGTGTTGCTAGAGTGTATCATACAAAGAAAGGAAGAGGATAAATAAGTACAATAGATAATTCGTCGAGGAAGGAGCAATCAGCAAATCACACCAAAGCACCCGCCAGCCACCCACTGGCACCTATTCATACTTGCACAAACTCACCCACCTCACACAGAACACAATTAATCACACCAGTTTATATTTATAATAAGTCACAAAATCACTTAGATAACAACCTGGCACTAGTTACTAGTTTATTTTATATCCACGATAATTGCAACTCAACAAAATCACATTACTGAAGACAAAAATTACGCCCAAACATACATTGACAATAATTCACCAAAGCCACACCAGTTCAAAGATCTATACACATTGATAGACTAGATATTATCTGGGGGCTCTCGTGGCCTAGGGGTTAAGGTGTTGGCCTCTCAATCAAAGGTCCCGGGTTCGAATCCGGGTAGTGACCAAAAAAATTTTCTTCTCTAAATTTGTCTCCTTTCACCTCCTTTTCTGCTCTCTAGTAATATTCTGTCGTCTGCTTTCGTCTCCTCTTTCTGCCCCCATCTCCTTTGCACCCCTCCTCTGGGCTCCTGATTCTTTCTACAGCCTTTCTACTGCTACTCCCTGTCTTTCAGCCACACCCCTGATCTTCTGGTAGGAAAAGATCTACACCTAGCCTTCTCGGACAAGGGCGAAAAATCTCGGAGGGCCCATGTGCAAGCTGCGCACGTTTAAGATCCCTTGGGTGTCTAAAATCGATAAGAGTAGGCTTCGGCCGCCACCCGGGCAAAATTTAAAATTTCCTACCAACTGAAAAAGTTTAATGTGTCCCGCGCGCTCAGCGCCGAAAAACACTTACAAAAACAAACAAAAAAAGATATTATCTGCATTGACAATGATTCACCGAAAGCACACGACAGAAGACAAAATCACACCGATACGTACATGTACATTGACACTAATCCTCCAAAATCAGTTGACAGATTCCCAAAGCGCGCGAGCACACACACACACACCAGCAGGTTCCCAACACAGCATTGTCAATTAAAGTGTTGACTGACGCAACAAGCCCAGATCTACCGAGGTACTCCGCACAGACTAGAGGCGCCTACGATGACCGATGAACCCCATGATTAGGCCTATACCATACTGCAGTGAACAGTGAACCACTGAACTGAATAGACCTCGCTGTCTCGCTCTTGCCTAGGCCTATTCAGATGGGTTTTTTTCGCATCGAAGGTCATGGCTGTTCCACCGGCGTGCGAGCGCGCGCGCGCGCGCGCGCGAACACACACACACACACACACGCGCGCGCGCGCGCGCGCAATCAGCCTATAACGTCACAAGAGGGTGTTTGTTTTCTCTGCCACCGTCACTCTTTTCTCTTCCTCTTCATGTCATACCTCTTTCTGGCCCTCACTCGTTCTTCTCTCACTCACGGCGTCATTCCCAGAGTGACTCTAGTCTAAAAGTGCAACGACCGAGCTCGCACACATTTTTTAGACTGGCTTAAAATAGCTGTGGGCGGTTGGTTGGTGCTCTGGTGTGGTTTGCTACTTCTTTTCTATCAAACATCTATCGTCCTTAGGCTACCTCTCGTCCTTTTTTTTTGTGTATGTTACTCTGTTGTAACACCTCTTATCTTCGGAACTTGTATGACTTATTGTGTAAAACACCTACTAAAACTTTGTAAATTAAGAATAGCTATGGAGGTTTTGTTGAATTATTATCTATAGGGGCAGTAGATCTAGTGAGTGCGTATGTGGCACTGTTGCGTGTTTCGAGTCTGAGAAGAATCCGAGAAGATAAAAATAGAATTGTTAGGTGAAAGCAAAGATCGAGTGGTTGTAGAGAATCTGGGATGAAAGCTCATATTGGGGATGTCGGGCCGGCCGGTGGGGTGTTTGTGCGCGCGTGCGTCTGTGTGAGTGCGCGTGTGTGTGCGTGTTAGAGCGGGCAGAGACAAGGTCACAAGGCGCGTATTGGGTGGCCTGTCTTATAATGGCGCTCACGACCTATAGCACTAATGGCAGGGGGCGCGTGTGTGTTTGGGAGAGAGGGGGGTGGGAGAAAGAGAGACAGAGAGAGAGAGAGAGAGAAAATGTGTCTGCGTTTGGAGAGGGGACTGGAGCGAGAGAAAAAACGTGACAGATAGATAAAGAGTGCGCATGTGTTT